AAGTGGGTGCTTGAACTGCCTCCGGCAGCAGTCTATTCCATGTCTGATTGCAGTGACTAAGGGCACTTGCTTTTGTTCTGGGGCGTCTTTACCCATCAGTGTTGTCAGGGCTTTGTCATTTTAGTTGGATTGTGCCATCTGTTGATCTTCCTTTCCTAGTATTACTGAAATATCAGAGATCCTTCAAAGACCTATGCAATAGGGAAATGCTGTTCTGTTTTTCTTTAAGGGAAACTGAGGTACAGGCATGAAGAACACACACGCGCACACGTGCATGCACACACGCACACACATACCCATGTAGAAGGTCCCAGGGAGGACACCCTCCTGAGTCATCTGGCATGCTCCAGATCTGATGATATGGTGTGCACTTCTCCCTGGCACCTGCTTTTGACCTCTCAGTCAATCATGGATCTGCGAGCAGGTGCTGGGGATGAAACCAGAGCACAATCAATAGCCAAATTCTGGCTCTGGAGCATGTCAGCAGATTTGGGCTAGGAGGACATGCTCAGCCCCATCTTCCCTGGGCCCTTCTGCTGACATTGTAGAGACGAGCCATGAGTGACTTGCTCAAGACCACACAACACGTCTGTGTAAGTAGAACCTAGGATGTCCCAAGTCCCAGGCTAGCTTGCATCAAATAGAAAGCTGTCTTGTATGCTTCACTTTTCTGTGGTGCCTGCCAGACTCCTCCTCCCAGATCACAACTTTAATGGCAGATGCAGCAAAGGAAACCAAGGGCCCGGGAGAGCGAGTGCCCTTTTCCACTGAAGGTTAAGGCTCATTAATAGGAAAAGTGTGAGAGAGCCTGTCTCTGCTACTGTTTGGGCCATGCAGATGAGAACTCTGGTTTCCACAGCTGTCCGTGAAGTACTTTTCATGAGTGCTGTGCTCCCTGAAGTAAACACCTCCTACCCCCACTCCACATGCTGTACACGCAGGAAAACTCACAGCGGTTTCAGAGCAATTTCCTTGTAGATCATTTTTTCATCAGCAGTGAGGCAGAACCTTTACCTTTGTTGAGGCTTTTAAGATTTTCAGCATGTTCTCCCTTGTAGCAAGAGGCAGGAGAGGCGGCTAATTGTGATTCCAGGATCTTGTAAAGGTCAAGAGCAGTCCAGAACACATGGTTCCAAATTGCAGTGTGTCTGAGTCATTAACATTCTGTGCCCCACTCTTGGCAAAAACAAGCAGGACAAAAGGGTATAAACAGCTTGTTAGGAAGGAGTGAAGGGGAAGGAGGCCAATCTGTTTGGCGACCTGAGGGACCTCCTCATGCCTTGGGCAGGGCATGTGGTTTGATCTGCTGGTTGAAGCACAGGGGAAGGATTGTAGTGAGTAATTTTTAGGACTCATTAGATGAGTGGATGCCTGTGAACACCATGGGCTAGACTTCCTGGGCCAGCAAGCTCCTTCCGGTCTGATAGCCAGGGTCAGTGCTAGAACTGGACATGTCTGCCATGCAGGCTCTGCTCTGGCAACAGGTTATGTTGACATGCAAGCTTAGATACAGCTAACAACGCAGCCTCAGTGCAGAGCCAGTCTTAGGGAAAATGGTGCCCTGGGTGGGCATGTATTTTGGCACCTCCCCCCAGCACCCCTCCAAGTCACCAGGGCTACTACCTTGCCACAGGGGGGTTCCATCCAATGGGCAGGGCATGTGCCTGTGCTGGGGACTGCTGCCTGTAGCCCTGTGGAGCTGAAGTGGAGCTTGCGATGAGTGGCCGGTGAGTGCTGGCACAGGGGCTTCGGTGCCCTGCAGTTACCATGGGGTTCCTCCAGGGTCTGACATGCAATCAGCTGCGTGCAGGTGAGACTGAAACGGAACCCTCCTCTGCTCTCCTCCACAGCATGCCGGCCCCAGCCGGGGGCTCCCTGCGTGCCCCACCATACCCTGCTCTGCTCTACCCTGCCTGGGAGGGAGCAGGTGCCTCAGCTGCTGCCATCCTCATGCACAGAATCCCAGGCAT